TTTAATTTTGATAATAGCTCACGAAAGCCACGAGTTACACTGCTTAAACACTGCTGTCATTTTGAATACAATGTTAGCATTATATGATTACTAGCATTTGCCCGCGACTCTGTCCGCGAGGATTAAAAAAACCAAAGCAAGCTTATGTTTTCTTCCAGCCTATCCTCTACATCTGTGCCAAATATCATCGAGATCCGTTCAGCAGTTTAGGCTACAAACTGTAACAAACATCCATCCATCTATGTCTCATTTATATTAGTAAGATATTCAAACTTTCAAGTTATCTAACTTACGTAACCAACGATTCTACCCAGGCAGATTGTAAACTGTCACTGAAAACAATATTCTATAGACAAATTGGATGCCATTAGCATAATATCTAAATTTTGTTTAGGCGAATTCAAAACGAGCGGAGTTAACTATTTGCTGGTAACATGTGCGCGGCGTAATGACAATTTGCGTCATTACTATATTTGAGTGAGTATTCAATCACACGGTACAATGATCAATAAAATAGTATAATAAACGTTCCATTGAATTTTAGATTAATGATTTCTTACATAAATATAAGTGCTTATTTAACAATAAATTCTTACGAACGTTAAAATCTTGATCTATGTATAAATAAACAGAAACAATAATATTATTTATATAGTTACTATCATTAACCGTATTATGCCCCCTACAGACGCTCATTAACGATACGCGTGAAGACAAAATTTTAATTCTCGTATTAACTGTCCAACTGTTCAGTTAGAACTGACCGTCTACAGCAGGCTTTATGACTGTCATATCACCAACAACCTGTCACTAATGTTGTGAAGAAATCTTTAGTTTATCTAGAACATATCAAATGATTTAGCCTTGACTGAAACGTGATAAGGAATTTCAAAAGCGCCTTTTAATATCACGCTACGAGTAATGTCATTTAGTTCAATGAGTTTATAATATAATATTTATATTTATGTTCTTTAATATTGGAGTAATAACTAATATTTTTGTATGAAATAACTCAAAAACTACTGGACGATTTCAAAAGCTACGTTGAACGTAACGTAGGTTAGGTATACTTTACATATTTTTTTTAATTTCACACGGACAAAGTCGCAAGCAAGAGCTAGTAATTAATTACGAATAGCACTGTTTATAGAGGATGTATTGTAGAAAGTGTAAAGGTCATTCTTTAAAAAATCTTCGCATAATTTGTAATCTATACTATTAAAATAAAGCGTAAACACACACTTCTTTGTCGCCCAAGATATCAGCAATTACAGCATGTTTTTGAATAATTCTTTTTTAATTAAAAAGCCCTACACTTACGTCACGCTTTAGGCTATATATTTTCACGCGATTAAACTTAGGGGGTAGATATTTAGGATAAAAACTCTAATGTGGGAAAGGGACGATAAGTTGCTGCCAACATCAAGGAAGCAAAATTGCCATAGTTTGTCATCATGTCATGTCATTTTGACATTTTCAATTGATAATTTGACAAATTTAAACAATAAAATATAGTTTTTATAATTTTACGCGGACGAAGCCGCACGGGAACAGCTAGTTTGTTATACGCAGTACAAGTTAATACTAAGTAAAGTTTAAACAATAAAATTTCTTCTACTAATTGGGTGAGTAAGTTCATACCACCGACGGTCAGAGCGGTTCTAAAGCGTATAAATCAATTCGATACAGTGTATTGATACCAATTTTATCAACCGTTGACATTTCTACAATGTATAATACGATTCAATCTTTACACAGGCTCAAAGTTATAGCATGTTTAATTTCATCACGGCTGATGGAAACATAACCGAGAGTGTTATACTCTGCTGACGCTTTGTAGAAAAAAGGGTTAGAATGGAACGAGAGAAAGAAGTAAGCGTGGTAGTCAATGATTTTCAAAACACTTACGTTCCGTTTTAACCTATAATTGTGTTTATGCGATATGCGATAAGCCGAGTCAATATTAAGTTTGAATTGTTATACACAACTGTTCAAATATAACTACGTAAATTTATATAAAATTTTGACTATAGTTTCTCATGAAAACTTTTTACGTTAACACGTTTAAATATGAATGTGACATTGTATTTGATTTGATAGTACAAAGTTATTCTCAGGAAACTAATAAACAGAGCGTTCTTATACCTGAGAATATTTCCTTTGTTAATCAACAATAAGTAACTCATGAACCATGATGTTTAATCTCTTGTATTTAGATATACAAAATTACCTAAAACGTTATTGGTTAAATGTTTTAAATCCATGTTTTTTATTTAAGGGATGTCTTTCTCCATTTGCATAAATTAGCTAAAAACATCGTTTCAATTTAACAGAAAACCTTGAAAAACCAGAATAATTGGTATTGATAAGGAAACTATAACACATATGGTGTTCCAATTTATGAAAAAAGAAATTTACCCTACTTTTTATTTAATTAAAATTATCATTTAACTTCTCTTTAAATATTTTACATGTCTGTCTTTGTGTTCAAGGAAAATTAAAGACATCTTATTAAGATAAATAAGAAACTTTTGATGGATGGATGTTTGTTGGATTGTATATTCAAAGCGGATTAAAAAATACATAGAAATATATCAATGTCTGAAGTAGCGCAAATGAAACCTTTTTGCTAATGTTAATAGTTTTTTTCTCACGCGGAAAGTCACGGGCAAATGCCAGTATTAAAACGCATTTCAAACCTCGTTGATTAGAATTTAATAGCAATAATTAACCTATAATTTATTTAATTAAGGCAATTAATAAATTATCATTATTATCACCAGCTCGCTATACGTCCCCACCGAGGGGCTCGGAGCCTACCCTAATAAGGGGTGACTAGGCCTTAGTCAACCACGCTGGCCAAGTACGGGTTGGTTGACTTCACACATATCATTGAATTTCTCCGCCGAGATGTGCAGGTTGCAGGTTTAATATATTATGTTAGTATCGAATTCATAAAATTTATGTCTTCCCTTTTATTCGCATTGAAAAAACTGAGTTTTATTTTTGTAAGTATTTCGGCAGTGAAAACTGACGGCAAATGATACAAAGTTCAATAAATTGTCAGATAAAATTTAATAATAATTAAGGAAAAAACGAAGGTTAAAACGAAACTAAAACGAGTACACAAAAATGCAAACAAAGATGTTATTTTTTGTATATTATTTGTTCAAGTTATATTCGAAAACTTTATTGCGAAAGTGTATTTTTACAAGTCTATTTATGCTGAACTAGCTGTTCCCATGCGACTTCATCCGCATGAAATTGAAAAAAATCATTTTATTGTTCACATTTGTCAAATTATCAATTGCAAATGTCAAAATGTCATGACATGATGTCAAACCATGGCAACTTTGCTTCCTTGATGTTATGATGTCTTTCCCACATTAGGGTTTTTAACCAAAATATTTACCCCTAAGTTTAACAGTGTGAAAATATATAGCCTAAAGCGTGATGTAAGTGTAGGGCTTTTTTAAAAAAAGAGTTATTCGAAAATATGGTGTAATTGCTGACATCTTAGGCAACAAAGAAGTGTGTGTACGCTTTATTATAATAGTATAGATTATAGTTTTATGATTTTTTGCATGTAAGAAAAAAATATAAAAGACTCGTCATTTAATAGTGAGATATTGTGGTAAAACGATATAACTAAGGCGTATTTTACGTATAACTTTATAATCTATTCCCAATAAAAAAAAACTTTTTAAAGGAACAAATCAGACAGGAATTGAAAATAACAACCAAGCTACGTGTTACTGGAGTACTTCAAGTAAAAAAAAATATATTTATGCTTTATCAACAATTGAAATAATGTAACAAGTTGTTTACGAAACCACGTACACATGTTTTATTTCTCAACATTCCATTAAAATAATACGTTCACTAAACTTATGTAAACATTTTAGATTTCGTGTTTTAGAAATATGTAACGAAATTGTAACATTACGAACGATAAAAAACCATTTTAGTTATTTTTTTCCTCCTTTCAATATGAATATGAGAATGTTTTTTTTTTTAATTTTAAAGAGAGAGGAAAAAACTCGAGAAAGAGGAAAATAACAAATGTAACATATTTCCTTTATTAAATCTGCAATCAAATATCGCGGAAATATCTTACTTATATTATAAATGCGAATGTTTAGATGGATATATGTTAGTTTGTAGCCTAAACTGCTGAATGAATTTCAAAGTAATTTGGCATGGATGTTGAGAATAGTCTGGAAGAACACATAGACTACTTACCGTCGTAGTAATAATTAAACATCTGTATGGATAGAATATACCAGTGTACAGACTTCGAGCGTGTTTCTGCCGGCCGGGTTAATTTACGCGGGAAAAATATGAAGTTTTAAAATTGCCGCAAAGCAGATATAAAACCTTCTTACAACTCGATATCTGGTATTCATAAGATACTTTAAAGACCAACATAATTCATTTATAAATTCTTTACAAGTTTCAGAGTAAGGAAGTATTTACCTACGTATTAATTACGATATTGCACGTAAAAACGCATTTAAAAATTATAAGTACTCATAACTTGAAAAGATTTTTTTGAAACCGGTTTAAATATTTTTTTCATATTATTTTTTGCAGTGAATATAAATAATGTATTTTGAATTAATCATAATCTAAAATAACTTGAACTCAATATTTTTTTTTATAAATTAAAATAAGCAATAACCGTTTCCAAGTCGTTATTAGGAATTTAATGATAAATTAAATTTTTCCATACATTATTATTTAAAGTATTTTTTTCAGTTTTTAGATCGTAAAATTTCGAAAAAATTTTATACCACCCGCATAAAAAACATAAAACATTGCGCTTATTATACTATACGTATATAGGTTCAACGTTGCTATAATTCTAATGTATCATTTTAATGTATTTTTTCTTTGGATTTTCAATGTTTAGAACGCATTTAAAATTAACGGCACCTTTTAATTTTGACTAAGATCCGTAAAAATTAAAATTAAAATTTCTTTTAAAAACTATTACTTACTTGGAGTATCTGAAATGTCATCCATAATCGCCAACTTGCTCGGCCGTTTATCATCTTCAGATTTCAAACCCATTTTTCACTGCAACAGTCCCTTTAAAGTTAAAAAAAAAAACGCGCACGCGAATTAAAAATAAAAATTATCACTTGTCACTGGCTGGTTATTATTTCTGGCCTATATTTTTGATTGGTGTTTTTGACATTTATTTTTCTTAAAATCGGTAACAAGTGGCGCGTCAGTGCGACATACTCGCCGGCGAGACGGTGGCGGTCGCTGGCTGCATTCGAGCTCGACTGTCGCCCCACAATGCTCTAGTCTTGTTTTTAAAGCACGCGATCCGCCGGCGCACTGCACGAGTCGTATCACAGGTGTAGTAGACGCTATTCATTACTTATTACAATAAAACACATCAGCATTATAGCTGACAAAAACAAATCATACTTCATACTAATATTATAAATGCGAAAGTTTAGATGGATGGATGTTTGTAAGAGTTTGCAGCCTAAACTGCTGAACGGATTTTTATGAAATTTGGTATAGATGTAGGGGATATTCTGGAAGAACACATAGCGTACTACTTACTTTCGTTTTTTTTATTCCACGCGAACGGAGTCGCAGGCAATAGCTAGTAATAAAAGAAATGAATGTTGGCACATAGTTGTGCAAAAAAATATGTTTTAAAAAACTAATGTGCATAAGCCTCATCATAATATGAAAACACAACTTTTAAGTCGAAAACAAATAGGGTCAGGAAAAAAAAAATATTGTGGTTATGTTATTTCAAACATATTATGATATTTTATTATGTTAAATACTTGCCTAATTTGTAACAAAAACGAGGAATTAATTAACAACTAGTTTCAACATATACTTGACGGCGATTAAATGGTAATCGAGTTTATATTTTAACAGTTTTAACTTCATAAAATGAACATTACTGTCTCTGTTAAATGACAATTTTGCTACTTCATTTTGATATAATATACAGAATGTCCGAAAAAATATTGTAATACAGACAACAGTTTTCTTAGGTGAAATTATTTTGAATATATAGATTACATTCTATGTTTAAACATCCTGTACAGCTGACGTTTAATTTACAATGTTAACTGTTTACAAGTGTCGACAGTGTAAGCCTACGGTGAGTGATGATTCATAAGGCAAGTACACATTAAGTATTCAAAAGTTGTCGATGTCTCAAAGGTGAAGAAACGGACCCGCCAAATTCGGGACGAGCCGCAAACGAACCGGTTATTTTGGGGTCTTTAGCGATATTGTGACATTGCATAAAAATATACCAGGAGTTATTGTCGTTCCAAGTTTAAATATATAATACATTGAAAACATATGAGTAAATATACTATGAATGTTCAAAAGAAATATAAATAACTAGCTTTCGCCCGCGACTCCGTCCGCGTGTTATTAAAAAAACAAAAGTGAGTAGCCTGTGTTCTTCCAGACTGTTCTCTACATCCATGCCAAATTTTATAGAGATTCGTTCAGTGGTTTAGGCTACAAACTCTAACAAACATACATCCATCCATCCATCCATCCATCCATCTATCTAAACTATCGCATTTATAATATTAGTGAGAAGTAAGATAAATTGCAAGGTCAGGTACAGACTGTTTGATTTTTTGACAATATTTTTATAATATTCTTAACGATGTTTCATGTTATCTTTTAAAGATATCAGAAAACTACAATATCCTTATTTTTATTATCGTTCTCTATTGAAAAGTGCCAAAACTACACAACAGCTAACAATAAATTGAAAATTAATTAAAAACTCGAGAGATTTACGCTTTGGTGGTTGGATGAAAATCCCATTGAAATAAGATTAAATGTCTGATAAGAATGTGTAAAAACTAACTATATAGAAAGGCGCGTAACTACAAAATGTGTTACAAGAAAACCTTTACTTGGACTTAACTTTATCTGGATATTCAAGAAGAACTAGAAGAAAAAATATTAGAATACATACAGACCCTTTGAGAAATTTAAGTCATAAGGTTTATTCGAAATTATTAAAAAAATCATAGCCTTAAGTACACACAGATTAAAAATGCATTATTAGTTGTTGCGTTCGGGATTTTTACTATACAAATAATTCGGTCCATAGTCAATCTACGCATGTAGGAATGTCAATATGTTTGATGAATCTGACATATCTCTGATATGGCAACATCCGTTGCTTCGCCGCGTGCGACGGACGTGATCCATACAATTCAGATCTGCAACATTATCTTATCAATAACATTGGATTACAGCACTTCACTGCAAAATCCATCTCAAGATGGTATAAAAAGTAATTAATTGACAACTGTTTACGCTATTTTAATTGCCAATATAAAATTATTAGCCATCGCCCGCGACTACGTCCGCGTCGACTTAAAAAAACAAAAGTAAATAACCTATGTCTTCTTTCAAACTATCTACGCCTATATCAAATTTCATCGAGATCTATCAGCAGTTTAGGCTACAAACTCTAACAAACATACATCCATCTAACTTTCGCGTTTAAAATATTAGTAAGATGTGTTGCAACTCTCCGAAGTAACCAGTAATTCTTATGCTTGTATCAAAACAGAAGAATATGAAAGAGGCAAACATCCTCAGAAACTACAGTCCTCTCTTCTACATTGGCGCCTTTCGGCTCACAACTTAGTACTCAGCCTTGGTATGGTACCATACAAGGAAAAAAGTATCACGTAGTCATAATACGCTAGTAGCCTAAAGGAGACCCCCACGGTCCTCAATTTGTCGCGCTCCTTACAAAATTAAGGCTTTTTCCTTATTAAAATAACCAAGAATTAAGGAATAGCTATCGACAAACTGGAATAACAAGACCCTAACACTAATACCATTAAAATCTAGATAAAAAAATATCAAATCAAACTTATCTGTCACATGCTAACTAGGAGGGCAGGGAAACTAGCAGCAAAGGCGTGATCGGCAGTATTATTAGCATGTTAAATTTAAGTTTCCAGTGGTTAAACAACCATCCAAAAACATATTGCTGTTTCAGTTCTTGTAAGGAGACTGCAAAGGATGGTGATATGTTTTATACAGGTGCTTCGGTAGTGGAAATTCAGTTACACAAAGAATGTGTTAATCTATTTTCGAGATAAATAAAATAGCATACGGTGCGGAAAACGAGATCTTATTAATTCTGTCAACATTATTATAGTAAGTTGCTAATATAATTTACACATGCTTTAAATTTTATTTACCCATGATTACTATTAATTTAAGATTTTTCATGCCGATATGATTGTCCTTCTGAGATATAAATATATTTAACTATATATCGATACTACTCTCGTGTCGGTTTCGTAACAAAGACTTTTTTGAAATACCAATGTATTTATGTATATCCCTTCCTTCTAACCTGCAGCACTAGTTATTCTTATCCGTATTTTTTTTATAAAAAATATTAATAGATTTTTGTTAATTTACTAACATTTCCTTTAACCATAACAACTAAGCTCTAGGCTTGTGCTCTAATAATGTTCACGACAATAGTCGAATAGCGGGATTCGAACTCTCGACCGCAAAATCAGTAGTCCGTAGTCCATACCCCAAACCATTAGGCTATTGGCGCTTATATTGTTATAGATATTAGGATAACTGGGTCTTTGGGCTTTTTATTAACTAACTTACGCGTTTAATAGATTTAGTGATTAAGGGCCTGTCCCACCAAATACTAAAATATATAACAATTAAAAGTGTAAAATATGTGATGGAAATATCGGATTTTGTTACCTTATCTGACAGTGACGTCATTTTTAAGATATCTGAACCTCTAACAGCTAGTAGTGGGACAGGCCCTTTGGGCCGTAAACATTTAGATAGGCTATCTAATGATGTAATACTGAAACAAAAACATCAAATAACTCGACAGAGCGATTATACAGGCTTTGATTCGATCATAAAGATACGAATCATGCGGCTGTTTGAGAAAAGATTAGTTATGTATAAATCTAGAATACTCCCATTGATCCATGCGGCAAAGCACACATATTAAAAGATTAACATTATCAATCCTATTAATACTAAGAATAATGTAAGTTTTGTGATGATATTTTCTTTTTTTTATAATATAAGGTGGCAAACGAGCAAGCGGCCACCTGAATCCGGAGGAGGAAACGCACATAAAAAGGACATTTCCTCTTCCTACTCGTATGCGTGTCCTCCACCGTCAAATCCACTTTTCCTTCCCATCTTTTCCTTTTAAGAAAAGGGTGGAAAGGGAAAGGGACTACAAGTAGAGACTCATCAGACGAAACGCGGATTTCCTACCACTTCACGACTGTTTTCTGTGTGGTCGAGGTATTTCACCGAGCGAGCCGGCTCATTCGTGCGAAGATGTTAAAGCGGGCTCTACCACTGTTATATACAATTCAACAAATGCTAGACGTCGGCAATACGTTACATAATAATTTCTTTCCTTTAATAGACATGCTAGATGGATGGATAGATAGAGTATGTACAGAAAGAAGAGATGCCAAATTCCTAATACAAAGCGGAAATACTTTCTGTTAAAATTTATTTATCATGAATGAATTTCATACCACTTTACGCACGCATTGGTGAACTGAAAGCTTATATCAACTAGGTATTGTATGTTCAGATTTGTCTCAACGAATATCATACGAAATTTTTCGATGACGTTCCAAATCATTCTCGCAACCTTCACGTAATCATTCGTGATAGACCCTCAGCAGCGCCAATCATTGTCACACGTGATATCGACAACTTCGGATGACAAGCGCAATTCGTCTTGACGATACGTTCTACGTCAGCTGTCATAATCTCTTGTCACTGTGATCGTACACTCCCACACCGCATGATTACACATATCCAAGATTTATCTCAATAAATGTTGACAAATATATTAGCACTGAAGTAATATTTATTCATTCCATCATCACACGACTATAATCAATTATTATTATTAAAGTTATCTAGTCCGGCGACTTATATAAAATGTTTCAGTTGATAGCACGCGACAATAGGGAACCAATCGCTGCCCAGACATTCGCGTCTGCAGAAGCGTTGCTTTTAAATGAAGAAATAACGCACAGAATGATATATGTAGCCATACCTTTGCTGTCCTATTCGACACCAATAAAAAAACGTGTGGAAAGGAATGGGTCAGCTTGCCCGGACCTAGGAGGTTAGGAGTTCAAATTACTGCTAGTTTATTGTTTAAGATTCCGTGATTGCTATATACAGCTGAAACTAACAATCGATCTCGATTTAAAATAATCGATGGTATGGTTGCTGGGCGGAAAATCTAGCAGCATCTAGGATGAATTTAACAGATTAGATTAAAATACTTTCATTGCGTTTGTCGCGATATCTTTGCGACAATTTTATAGAAACATATCTTGTAAGTGATTGAGGCGAGGGCGATATAAATGGATATTAAAGGAATTTAAGTCATTTAAATTTAACTATCTAAGTTATATTAGTATAATAAATTTTAATTGAGCATGCCATGTTGCAGTTAATCTATACTTCTTTACTATTATAATAAAGCGTAAACACACACTTCTTTGTTGCCCAAGATGTCAGCAATTACAGCATATTTTTGTATAATTCTTTTTTTAATAAAAAGCCCTATACTTACGTCATGCTTTAGGCTATATATTTTCAGGCCATTAAACTTAGGGGGTAAATATTTTGGATAAAAACCCTAATGTAGGAAAGAGACCATAATTTGCTGCCAACATCAAGAAAAAAAGATTGCTAAGGTTTGTCATGTCATGTCATTTTGACATTTGCTTTTGATAATTTGACAAATGTAAACAACAAAATAAAATTTTCATAATTCCATGCGGATAAACGCCGCACGGGAATAGCTAGTGTTTAGTATATTTTTAACCAACTGATCTGTAAACGATTTCACAATTTTTAATGGAAAATGATATAAATTAGTAAATACTATTTCGAATTTCCGTGACACGAAGAATTCCTGCTTCAATTGAAATACATAAGATTGCTAAAGTTGCCTTATTGAGTTATTTAAGTTACATTTTGCTTAGTTATAAAACATCTGTGATAATCGTGCTGTATTTTTGAACGACTTCCTAAAACAAGGAGTGTTGTTGATGTTGCTTTGGACGAACTTTGGTGGAAGGGGGCGAATACGTAATAACACGCTTTGGATTTGAACGGCGGGCGGCTGTCCGCGGTTTTGGCTTCTTTTGTTGTTGTCGGTCGCTGAGTGAGTTTCGCCCGGAAGCGCGGTGTTGCCACAGGCGTATTCTATTTTCTATTTTCTACTATTGTTGGTAGCTTGGTAGTTTTTATATATTATTATTTACTAAGTTAACCATTTGATATATTTTACATTTTAAATAAGGAGGTAATACTCAATTCGTCTGTATATTTTTTTAAACATGGTCTAATGACTCGTTTCAGCAATCGAAAAATGTAAACAAGTTATAAATAATGCGCAAAAATTAATTTGACATAATATTTAAATAAAAACGAACAAACATCCTGATAGTTGGTAAACATGAGATTAGAAAAGTTTATTGTTGATAAGATTGTAAAACCGATGCATCCGTGTGTCAGTTTTAGTTAAACGAACGCTTGCGAAATCAATCGTAATTGTTTTGTATGGCTAATATTTGAACAAAGCTAAGGATATTAACAAACAAGAAATAACTGTAAGTTCTACTAAGATAATTTAAATTTTATTAGGAAGACAAATAGAAAAAACTTAACTTAGTACAAAAATATATGACTAATTTCTTAGCGCACAATAAAGTAGTAAAGAAGCCTATCGAAGACCCGAGGGCAAGATTTTGATATTCTTGTTTTGGATTGGCTGTACCTAAACATTGTCTTGTTTTTTTTTTACTCCTCTTTGTCCTCACTCAGCAACAGATCTGGTATCTCAGCGTAAATGTCATAAAAATAGATAAATCAAGAACAAAGTGCTGTATAAAAGTTCACTTGCGGTAACTGAACTGGATCATTGACATTATGCCCGGTTCACATTTGGCCAGTACAGTTGGACAGTTTCGATAGCCAGTATGATTGTATGGACTCAGATGCCATTTAGTTTCACAATTTTTGAGCGCTACTGGACAACTGTACTGGCCAAGTGTAAACAGGGCATTATTCCCATCCCGCTATACAATATAATTAATAATAAATTGAAAATTTATTTTTCGTATGCTAAGCTAAATATGCGATAGTATATCAATTTGCAACATAAAATAAAGAAGAAGAATAGTGTTTATCATATGAAAAAAAAAATGAAAAATAATTTATTTAAATCCAGGAATATAAATACATAAAAGATATAATTGTATTGCTTTGCTTGTGGATACATGGTTTTACTTTACAATTTCATTGGGTATTTGCCATATCTTCCGCCACAAATTACGACAAACGTATCTAATATAACTCAGTATATTGCGGTAAAATATTCATTTGAGTCAAGAAAATGTATGCAAAACAGGAATACGAAGTGTGCAAAGCAAATTCGTTTACTTTGGTGCTTTGTTTAAACGCTCTTGTAAACAATCAACTAGGATTACATTGCTCATCATCTCACGTATTCGTCTCGTGGTGTGTCATCGCAGTTTTTTTTATAAAACTAATGTTGACAATGACAAAGGTATCATGATGCCACGTGGTAGATATGATTGCGGTATTTTTGAATTTAGTAAACATTTTTTTTTTCAAATGTCAAATATAGTATAATTTACAGAACAGGGCAACACTAATGCCAATACCTGCAAAGTTTGTTACATTGAATCCTTAATGATTTTTCCCATAGTTATTAACTTATGTCACGTAAATAAAATGTAATTTAAAGTGCATAAATATGTCATACAAGCTTGTACAAATGATTTATCACAATAAATAAGGATCATTGAAAACGATTGTTTTTATCGAAGTTCGAAGTTAAATACATCAATATTGAACTCCACTGTAGATTATCAAAGCTGATTCGCACATCAAAATTACGCAGGTGTTGCAATAAATAATGTTACCCAATCTGACAATTGCAACAATCTGTCAAAATAAATGATTTGATTATCTATCAGTGGTCATTTTTTTTTACTTTTATCTTGATTTATTGTTTTTCAATTTAACTTTTCATGATTAAAATATTTGATATTGATTTACGCTGTATTTGTTTGTTATGTTGTTCATAACAAATTATTAATTTTTAGGTTATAATTCTTATTAGCAAGAATAACTAAAACATTGCACTCGTTGTATTATGTCTTGTTTATTACTATTATCATAGTGATATCTTTAACAGTATTATCTAATCCATTTAACTGAGTCTTGTATAATCATTGTAATGATTTATAAACTCTGTGCAAATTAAGGAAACCAAAATTTTAACAATTCAGCAGTATCAGTGTTCAATAGGCAGAATTTTTAACACAAATTTTGTTCAAAATTATGAATCCAACCGTTAAAACAAAATTACTGTAATTTAGTAAATTTTAAAATAAGGTGTAAAACTGTTAATACAATCTAAAGCCGCACTTCAAAACTTGATAAAGTTAATACCACTCATACGCAACTGTCTTTTCGCGCGCAAACTGCCAATGACAGGGCGGGAAACATGCACGCCCCCGTCTCATGGGTGTCATGCCTTCGCTACATGAGCAGCTCATACGGAGCCGTCAAGTACTTTAAGATATAGTTGATAAAGGATCTTAACTTGAGAGTTGGACAAATACAGTTAATCCCGTTTTGTGCCGTGCCTCCTACGCTGAACGATACGGAATAAAGACTCAATCACACTAGCGACAGTTTTGTACCTATGTTATCTTACTAATACTCGGATAATTTTAACATCACATGTTCTTCTAACTTCAGAATAATGTAACAAAAGATTCAAATATGACAGAAATTGCAGATCTAACAATCACATTCTACTTCTGCCTGCCTTCCTGGGATACGTGGCAATAATCTGTACAAATTCTACACAGGCATTTCCGGCTGAGGGTGCTTATGTCTTACTGGCCTTACATTTTTTCCGGGCAAGATGTATATTTTATTATTGGTATTGGCTTTGCTGGAAAATACCAAAACAGACGGTGGTTAGGTTTTAATAGCAAAGCGCCATCTAGCGCTTGACTTTGTAACCTTTTATAAGACATTTGAAAAAATATTTCAACGTTTTGTTACCATTTATTTGTTTGATTTAATATTACATACTAATGTTAGCTGATTTTATCCGTTTATAATCTGTTTTTTTTTTATGTTTTTACAATGTTTACTTTACAATATCATTTTTAGTAATTTTAAAAGCACAAATTGTAATCATTGCTAAGTATCCAGAGCAGAATGTTGTTTATGGATGGTTGGTGATGGTCAGCCGCCATTTTGCGTTGCGTTTATCGTTTGCGTTGTAACATTGTGGATTTAACTTTAAGTTTTTTAACATCTGTGATAGCTTAGTTAAGTTATCTAATATAAGTGTGAAAGTCTATTTATTTATTTAATTGTTATTGTGTTTGTGTTGTTCTAACCATGGGTAGGAAAAAGAAGAAGGCATCTAAACCTTGGTGCTGGTATCCTTTTAAAAATGCAGCTTTACATTTACCGAAACGTTTCCGTGACCTTCGCGAATTGTAATTGACCTATTTTTGCAAAATTTATGATGTCTGCCCGTAATTCTATGCTTTAATGTTAAATGGAATGATTTTCTTAGCACTTCCATCAGGTATTGTAACAGGGAATTCGACGATGAAAAAATTCTGATTCAGCATCAAAAGGCAAAGCATTTTAAATGCCACATATGTCATAAAAAGCTATACACGGGCCCCGGACTGTCAATACACTGCATGCAGGTATGTTTCCGCTGTTGGCACGGGCGCCGCCCGCCCACGTCCAACCGCGCCACTCTTTCAACTCACGATTATAGGTCGCGATATTTTTGCTCCATGTTCATTATACGCGCTAAATATCACTCCAATACAAGTAATTTTTCTTTTTCTAAAACTATGGGATCAATTGATTCTTATTCTCACCAATATTTCTTATTTCAGGTACACAAAGAAGCCATAGACAAAGTTCCAAATTCATTACCAAATAGGTCTAATATAGAAATAGAGATATATGGTATGGAAGGTATACCACCAGAAGATATCAAGGACCATGAGAAGCAAAAAACAGGTATAAAAACATTATTTAGCCTCCGCAGTGTTATGGATCCTAATGTATGTACAAGGACATATTTATTTTTAAATTTTGCTTGGGACACTGTAGTGTTAGATGTTTATTGGTGTATAGTTTTAGTGTTCCAGTAAAGGTATGTTTTTAAATCTGGTATTTGTAGCTTTTATCCATTTTTATCAATATTTGGATGATGTAGGTGGTGGCAAAGGCTCTGACAGTGAGGATGATGAACCTGCAGCTAAAAAGAAGCCTACTCAAGCATTGGTAATAATTTACATTGCTTTTTAGTTTATTTATTTAGTACCACAGTAAATATCTGTGTTTTAGTAATTCAATTTAATTAATCATCAAGATCTTATGAAAGATTTGATAGTGTAAAAGAAGTCGGTCAAAAAACATTGATGATAGTGGGAAAAAACATCTATCAATGATTGTTAATTCTTATATAAAAATCATAGGAAACAGAAATCTTACATAACTTATCACTTTAATAAAACTATTGCTAATATAAATTTGCATAATATTTTAATAAACTCAACTTTGTTTAGTTGCAGAGTAAAGATAATTCAGTAAGTCAGTTGTTATTGATTTTTGTTAATATTCCCAGTAAAATAAATCCCTTTGCTCACATACAATAATTTTAAAATATTAAAATATCGTTCTGAGTGTAAAACAAACTAAAAATGTTGCTAATTTTTATTTATTTGCTAATACTGAGTAGTACATTTAACTATTTTGATAGCAATAAATTTATTACCTACTTTAATTCATATAATGTTATTTGTAGCTTGGTGCGGGGCCATCCACAGTTAGTGCGGGCATCCTGCCCACGCCCATGGCTCAGTTGCCGCAGGGCATGTATCCCGGACATGCAATGTCTATGAACCACATGATGCCTCATTTCATGCAAGCGCCTAGGTAAGAGCATATTTTTAACTTCTGCCCCTACCACTATGTAAGGATTATCACTGTTGATGATCAAAAAGTTTGAAATTGACAATAGCTTTTGATAAGTCATATGCTTGCCACATATTTATTCCTGTACATTTTCATACATTTTACCGATTCTACTATTTATATCTAAGCGAAAGTCATTTTGACTAGAAAAACTAGACTAGATAATATTCTATTCTAGATTTTGCTAATGACTGCATGAAACATATAAGAAAATGTTTTGTAAATGACATTTATGCAGCTGACTGTACTCTATCTATTATTTTGAAATCTATAGATATATGAATGTAGAACTTGGGGATGTTAGAATCGAGCCTAATGCCATGGTCTCTGCCCTACAACTCTGGGTTGGGGAATAAGTGGTATTAGCTTATTTTTTACTGTAATGTTGAATGTGTTTGTTTCAGGATGATGATGCCAGGCATGAGGCCGCTGTTCCCCGCAGCCAGTGTGCCTACCTCAACTCCGAGCAAACCCACCTTCCCTGCATACAGGTATATATGAATTTGATCTTGTAGTATAAACAAACTTAAATAAAACCTGAATTTATAAACTGATATGTTAAGTCATCTATTATATTACAATTTTAAATGAGGTGATATAGAAATAATTTTTCATAACAAACTAAATAATGACTTCATATTTTGTATATTTTAAAATAAATTTTTTTATTGCTATTCAGAATTTACCAGAGACATAACTATCTTTTTTATATCTGGCTTTTACTCGTGACTTTCAGGTGGAATTATAAAAACTAATAAATATTTCCTATAGTATGAAGTAATTTTGTAGCTTTCTGTGAGAATTTTTGCAAAGATCCAGTAGTTTTTGGGTTTATTCATTGTATGCATAAATAGACAAGGTAGTTTTGTACATAGAAATGTTTTTAAACTGTTAAATGACTGCAGGCAGTGTTGTGTCAAATTGGCAGAACAAGTGATATTAAGTGAATCACATCCATACATTCCATAATGTAAGTAGTTTACAACATATCTTATGCAAGGAAGCAACTTGTATTGAAACACGCTATTGTATTTCATTGTATTGTCATTCATATATTCTCATGATAAACAATAATAGTCTAGAAATAAGTGCTGTAAAAAATATGTCGTAATATTTTAGAGCAATATTGAACACTGGTATACTATAGTACCAATTAAGAAACAAAACATAGATCACGTCAAAATTTTTAGGTTATTGTAATTTTTTTTTCTTAAAAAAATAATTCGTATTCATCATTCATAATCATGCTTTATTTTAATGATAAACAAAATTACTAACAATCCCACATTTTTCATTATAATTAAGTCTTATACATTAACAAAACTTAAATACTCACAATTAAATTGTTTAAACTTTCGACAGACATTATTATAACTAATTAATAAACGGCTAGCAAAATGGATGTAGGAATAGACGAGTGCTAGCCGTTTAATTGGTAATTATCTAGTGACAGTTGTAATATTTAGAGAGTGTGAATGTGTGTTGTGAGCAGTAACGCGACGATAAGCGCGCCGCCGACCACCTCCACGTCCGCGGTGGAGGCCAAGGAGAACGGCGAGGTGAAGGTGCCCGCCGCCAACGCCTGCCCCCTCGTCACCGCCACCGGCGCAGGCTCCAAGATCGTGCACCCCCCGGAGGACGTCTCCCTCGAGGAGATCCGCGCCCGGCTCGCCAAGTACCGCCCCAAGCCCAAGCCCGACACGCCGCACCCCGCGCCCACCTCCGTCGCCAGCCTCGTCGCCACCAGCCAGGCCGAGGTAAGTGGGCTTGTAGTCAGCACACGCTGACACACCTCATTGTTCAAAAATGTTGTTCACTGACTAGTCTATATAGAGAGAGTAACATACGGCAGCGCCCGTGTCTGCGTGTAGTGTAAACGTCTCTCAGGCAATGATTAGTTGTGTTCCGTATGTAATGTCGCGTGTGTGCGCGTGCGGTGGTGCCAGGTGGCGGCGCACATGTCCGCGGCGGTGGCGGCGGCGCGCCAGCAGGCGGCGCTGCGGCGGCCCGTCATGCAGCAGGTGGTGGGCGTGCTGCCGCAGCAGCTGCAGCTGCAGCAGCTCCCCCAGCTGCAGCAGCTGCCCCAGCAACTGCAGCTCCAGCAGCTGCAGCAGCTGCCGCGCGTCGGCGTGCCCGTCTCCATGCCGCCCGTCATGCTGCCCATGATGCCGCAGTTCAACATCATGCGCCCCATCCAGCCCGGTCAGTACAACGCTTACTATAGCTACCACTAGACCTCCCCACCTCCCTCACCTCCCACCACCTCCCTCCACCACCCTCCACCTCCCACCGACAGGTACATAAATACACGTAGAACATCTTACTTTTTATATGAACGTTTGCTACACAATACAGGAAATAAAACAAAACAAAATTACTCAAATCATTATGTATGTGGAAATATCTGTACTGTAACTATCTGTCTCGGTAGGATTTGACGATTGACCGCGGGCTTTTCGAAGTGACTAAAAACGATGAATTTGTGGAAAGTAATGTTTGTTGATATTATGTAAAAATTGTTAATTTAGTGTTTTTATGAATTTTGAACATGTTATGTGATATTTAGTTGTTGAAAGTTGTTTATGTAAATCAATTGTGAGACATTCATTATCTTATTTACTGCGTAATGCTTTATGTTTGTTTCGTAATAATTCGTTCTACGTGTATTTATTATAGGTGTTGAATTTTTACAGTTTGAGTTTTAAAAGAAATTGCTATGATATGAAAAGACAACTTTTAGAATAACAATATCTTACGATAATTTATGTATTAAATCTTACAAACTGTGAAATTCTAAAATTTATCAAATTGTTACATACATTTTATATCACTTTAAAAAACAGTGTAAATACAGTGTTACAAAAGACTGTGTTAGGACATGTTTAAATTACAACCTTCTTTTTAAAACTGAAATCTTTTCCTTTCATACCTTTACCGTGAAGCGATACAGTTTTAACTGACCAGTTCAATTCTTTTTGTTCAGTTAATTGTTACAATGGAGTATCTGAGGATTTTATTTTCCACTATAAACATGTACAAAAACGTGATTTTCTTATAAAAACATGAATTATTTGTTTTTTTTTGTACATGTATTTCGATAGTTAAGTTATAATTAAGTTACATTGATGTAAGTTAAGATAATATTGTATTATATAAATGTTTAGTGCATAAAATTGATATGTAAAATGTATTAGGATATCTCCATATGTTTAATTTAGTATTTTGTGTGAAGGCACTATTGTATAATATAGGAATATTGGACTAAGACTGCGGAAGCATTCCCATGTTATTGATGTTTTTACTTATTGTAATTATGTGAGACGTCTGCTCCAAGTGAGTGCAACACAACATAGATATATCTCTAGATGGAGCATTTGCACAAAAATAAGCCATTTTAGGCTTGCACAGATTTAAGTGATAATCTTTCTAAGTTTTCTCAATAGAATACAAGGTTTGTTATTTTTATTACCTACTTTCTAGTAAAGTTGAATAAAATTTGTTGTGACATTTTAAAAAACCCTAATTAGTAGTTTTGTAACAACAATAAAACAATGTTTTCTGTTAAATGACTTTTGAAAATGTTTAATTGTGACAATTGTCTGAGATGCACCATCTATAGATGTGACATCTGCGTGCGGCGTACAACATTGTGTCCCTCAGTTCAGTATAACTCTTCACATTCCAGTTCGCGAGCTGGTTTGAGAACATTGTGTGTGCCACGAGGTTTGATTATATTTTATTCACATATTCACTTTAAAACATTAGATTTTACATTTGTTCTTTTATATATATGATTTTTATGACATTAATTTTTCTATATTCCATTTCTTAAATGAGGTTTGACGTGTTTATGGATACTTCAATACCCAACGGTGATCGGCCGCAATAAAGTTTGTAGTGTACGGCAGGAGTCTGATTTAGAGGTTAACATAAGATTTGTCACATTTGCAGTGGTTATTTTTTAGTTAGTATTTGGGTAATGGCGATATTTTGTAATTTAGATGTATTTTGATCAGATTTACACGACCTTTTCTTTATTTTGTACTCAATGTTATTCGTCAAGATGCGGCGTGGAAAATGGATCGGGTCGATGTCAATGTTTTGTTTTTTATTTTGTAATAAAATGCTGATACTTAGCGAGTTTAGTTTGTATTTCCCACGGCTGAAGGGCCTAGGGCGTAGTCCGGCTAGGCCCCCCCGCGCCCGCGCCAGCCCGCCCTCCGCTGCGACGACACGAACCAGTCAGCGGTAACTTTGCTCACATTTCCTAATGGATTTGCTTACTGTAGTGGCTCTTTACTGTCTCGATTTCTCTCTAAGTGGCCGCGTTTTGGCCGTCGGTTGCGGGTGGGTACTACACTAATTATATATTTACGTACCAGTAGTTTGTCGCTTTCAACTGTGCATGAGCGAGCAGGTCGCTGCCCGCCGGCCGCTGCGGCGCCGCGACCGCACACGTGCATGTAC